CAGTAGCGACTGATGCTTGCTGACTCCCTAACACAGTAGCGACTGATGCCAACTGACTCCCTAACACAGAAGCGCCTGATGCTAACTGACTCCCTAACACAGTAGCGACTGATGCCAACTGACTCCCTAACACAGTAGCGACTGATGCTGGCTGACTCCCTAACACAGTAGCGACTGATGCCAACTGACTCCCTAACACAGTAGCGACTGATGCCAACTGACTCCCTAACACAGTTGTGGCTGATGCCGACTGACAAGATGATAAACTTACCCAAATTTAGGATGATGGGAATGTGATAAAGTCTGTTTTGCTTCTGCATTGAATTGACTTGAAAAGAAACTGTAAACACAAAAAGTCAATTATTAGAAATTTTCATTATTTGTTCATATACTTCCTAGGTTAGTTATGTTTAGCACGCACCTGAAGAACAACAACAAAGTTTATAGAAATATTCACTGTGACTCTTTGTCCAAAGTATTAAAATGAAATGTTCACAGTGACTCTTTGTCTTAAGTACCAAAATGAAATGTTCACAGTGACTCTTTGTCTCAAGTACCAAAATGAAATGTTCACAGTGACTCTTTGTCCGAAGTACCAAAATGAAATGTTCACTGTGACTCTTTGTCTCAAGTACCAAAATGAAATGTTCACTGTGACTCTTTGTCCAAAATATTGAAATGAAATGTTCAGTGACTCTTTGTCTCAGGTACCAAAATGAAATGTTCACTGTGACTCTTTGTCTCAAGTACCAAAATGAAATGTTCATAGTGACTCTTTGTCTCAAGTACCAAAATGAAATGTTCACAGTGACTCTTTGTCTCAAGTACCAAAATGAAATGTTCACAGTGACTCTTTGTCTCAAGTACCAAAATGAAATGTTCACTGTGACTCTTTGTCTCAAGTCCCGAAATAAAATGTTCACTGTGACTCTTTGTCCAAAATATTGAAATGAAATGTTCACAGTGACTCTTTGTCTCTAAGTACCAAAATGAAATGTTCACAGTGACTCTTTCAGACTTTGTCTCAAGTACCTGAAATGTTCACAGTGACTCTTTGTCTCTAGTACCAAAATGAAATGTTCACAGTGACTCTTTGTCTCAAGTACCAAAATGAAATGTTCAGTGACTCTTTGTCTTAAGTACCAAAATGAAATGTTCACAGTGACTCTTTGTCTCAAGTACCAAAATGAAATGTTCAGTGACTCTTTGTCTTAAGTACCAAAATGAAATGTTCACGATGACTCTTTGTCTTAAGTACCAAAATGAAATGTTCACAGTGACTCTTTGTCTCAAGTACCAAAATGAAATGTTCAGTGACTCTTTGTCTTAAGTACTAATCAAGTGGCAATACATTTTTGGGAGGAGGGCAAGTATTTCTATCAGAGGTGTTTTTAATACAGTATTATTTCATAATACTTACAGTAAATTATTAAGTCCCAACATACCTGAAAGATAAACATAAAACAAGTATTGTTAATTTCTAGTATAAATTGAATAGGATTACAGTAAGCAGATAGCGGCACATGTAAATCTGTCCATTGGCGTAAAAATGGGTGTGCGATTTTTAATACATAATGTTTAGGTTTTAGAATAAACAAAGATATCAAAAAACACTGCAGTTGTGCATCGCTGTTCTTTTCTAGTTTTGGTATAAAACAGACATTCTGTTCCCATTATTTTTATTTTCCACTTTTTTGGGGGGAACTTGTATGATGGGAAGAACTACTCACTGAGAGCCTTAAATTATTCACTCACCCATTCCACGGAAATCTGTTTTGGGATCATCCCCTTGGAATCCAATGTCACTCCATTGTTTAGTGATTCTAGATTGCAGTTTATTATTAGGCATTAATAATTCCCAAAGCTAGGAAATAAAACAAATTAATCAATTGGTATTTCATAGAACTGCCCTCTAGTGGTGGAAATCAGAATAAACATGCAGTCCCAAGTATACCAAAATAGCAAAATATCATATTTCCTTTTTTTTAATTCTTATTTTCTCTATAATATTTCAATGATGTACCACAAAAAAAACAAACTCAGATAAGGCTTGCATAAGCTGTACCATAAGTTTGGCTTCAGTCAATAATGAAGAAATCAGTCAAGCAAAGTCAGCCATCCCTAATCAAGATACTGTAAAACATGATGAAAAAGCGGCATGCAATTTTAGCAAATTGTGGTAAAATGACGTAATAGCGAAATGTTGATTTAGCGAATCTCTCTTATCATTGTTGATTTCTTTGTTTGACGGCCATTTTGAAATGATAATAAAGTCAGTGCACACAAAACACAGCTATTTTATTCAGATATAAGTAGATTTATTGAAAACGGTCACAATTGGCCATCTTGGATTGTAACAGAACATGAATCAATATATATGTGTAACATGATTTAACAATTAGATTGTTGCAGTAAAAATTAGCATAGCGCAATAACTTGATTAATTCGCGGTCCCTATTAATTGACGTACCCATTTTATTTTCGAACGCTAATTTTTAAATGTATCCTTTTAATTCGCGATGTTCAAAAACATGTTTAAAATTGTATCCTATTAATTCGCGGGCCAGAATAACTCAGAATATATTGCATGAAGACATTAAAAATATACATATAATTTTATGTTATCAGTACTTGGTGTAGCCGCAATCGCAGATGATCTCCGTCATCACAGCCTTTCAGTTAGCAAGCAGTTTAGGTTCGGTCAAGATTTGACCTGAAAAAAATCATTCCCCCACAACACTACAGATGTTGGGCAAGATTATTACTTAGTCGATAAATATCCATCGGTCAGCACATCGATTACGAATTTCCGTGATGGACATGGCTTTTCGTCGCTGGTCCACAGGGTTCCATCGACCATGTGTTCGCCATTTTGGAAAGTGATTTTATTCTATGGTGCGTAAATTGACGTTTTTGATTGGTCGGGCAATTGACCTCATGTCATACTTAAACAAAAGTGCTTGACAAAAAAAAACAATTATGTAAACAATGAACACATTGCTACAAAAATGCAATCAACGGGGCAGAAGACCACCTTATCCGAAGCAACACTGAAATATCAGAAATCATTGCCGATCTGCTTTTAGACGACGATGAAGATGGTGATTGGTTTGACGGCTTCACTGCCGACGACCTATCGAACAATTAATAATTTGTGTCTGACGGTACTGCCTAGAAAAAAAAAAAAAGCAGTGCAGCCAGATGTGTTCATTGTTTGTTTGTGTACAGAGTGACCTTTGCCATTTCACTGTTCCATTTCAAGTGTAACATGGTGCATGGTCCTTGACGCAGTGCGTGTTCTCTGCCCGACTAAACGCCATGAATGTCGCAAGCCACGAGTCTCAGAGGCACTAAAACAACGTCCTGTAATCGTGCTCATTGGAAAACAAAACAAATCACGAATAAATTTATGAAAACAGCTCCTTTTTGAATCAATCTAAAAGTACTCTTTTAATTCGCGCACCAAAAACCAATAATTTACGTTTTTACGCTATTAATTCGCGCACTTGAAAAAATAGTTATTTTTACTACCGCGAATTAAACGAGTTTTTACAGTATACATAAAAAACGTTTGATCAAAATTGTCAGTGCAACTCAGAAAAGTTGTTGTACACACAATAAATTATTCACCAGCAGAACGATAGACCAACAGACAGTTCTACCGACAGACAGATAAACCAGCAGACAGATGGACTGGCAGATAGATGGTCGAACAAATAACAATATGTACCTGCATCAACATATTTTCATGTTCTTGGTTCTCAGAATTATAAGGAGTCTTTCTAGTGACTTCCACTTCAGCTAACAAATTCTTATATCCATGGATTTGTGTCAAACAAGCTGTAAGATAGGGACCAAATCTGTGAAAAATAAAATAAATTGCCATTTAGACTGATCTGTGTTAAACCATATCAATTGCTAAATTCATGTTTAATAATATTTATGCAATTGCTACCATCACATCTACATTGGTATTCACCCAAGGTCTTGGCAGTCAAACCTGTGTATAGCAATCATGCAAGGCCTTTGCAGTCAAACCTGTGTATAGCAATCACCCAAGGCCTTTGCAGTCAAACCTTTGTATAGCAATCACCCAAGGCCTTTGCAGTCAAACCTGTGTAAAGCAATCACCCAAGACCTTTGCAGTCAAACCTGTGTATAGCAATCATGCAAGGCCTTTGCAGTCAAACCTGTGTATAGCAATCACCCAAGGCCTTTGCAGTCAAACCTGTTTATAG